TCATTTCCTATTTCATCTCAGCTTCCCATCTTGTTCTGTCATTTTAACTTAAAAAAATCAGCACAGGAGTATATTACCTACAAGATCCCTTATTCTTTAGGATTGATTAAGAGAAACAGAGTAATATAACAGAACTCCAAGAGAATTTTATCGGCATAGTGAGAGATTGAATTTATTCACATTCATTGTTTATTCCTTTCTTTCGTCCGGGTAATATTTAAGCAACGAAAATCAGAGGAACAGAGATCTACAATTATACGTCATTTTCTAGTCCAAAAAATAAGACTCTCGTGATATATTTCCTATGATTCCCAATGTATTAGATAGGGAAATCACTATAGAAGGTCTAATTACTTATTTATCAGAGGATATGAGGGTATATAACTCATATTATGGAAACCCCGATCTATCATAAACACATTAAGCAAATTAAACTAAGACGAAGGAAAAGTACTATAATCAACAACCCAAAAGAATAATGTGTCTAACAGCCCCTAAGTATTATATGATCTGAATGTACTTTAATAATTAGTAGAGTTCGAAAGTTAATAAATAATAGAAAGAAGATGCTTAGTGTTCTATCCTAATCAGGATTAGATTTCAGTTAGTCCCTGAAACAGGACAAAAATTTCCTCCCCCCCCCCCTCATGTAATTAAGTTACTGAAGGAGTAATTGTGGAATGATGGTGAAATCTACAGAGGATCTAAACAGACTCAGTTCCTACACCAGCCCTTATAAATTATAGAAAATCGTCTAAGCCAAATCTTTAGTCCTTAACTCTTTTTATTTCCTCGTAATAACAGCCAACACATGGCAGCTCATATATAGAGCTTCCTCGACTGAATCTGATAATCAGGTACGAATAAGACCTTTCTTAGCACCAAACTTAAGGGCCACTCCACCAAGAAACACCAATCCCCAGCGCAATATTATATTAAAAACCGCATCTTGAAAACAGATTAATATGTCCTATACGACAAGTAACAAAATGACCAAATTGTTTAATATATAAAAGATACAAACACATGATGAAACCATTCACATCAAAAAGACATAAGAAATGACGAACTACCTCCTCCAGAGGCCGAGCTAACCTCCCGGAGACTACCCGAACAAAAAAAGACTCAAGAGGATATCAATGACATCTCAAGAATCCTAAAAAGGCCGAATAATGAAAACCACTCCACAACACCGGGGCCCCGGACTAAGCTTAAGAGGTGTCACCCGAACGACCCAGATGATGAATAACAACAGCCCGTCTGAGCAGGTTCTATCCAGTATATATAAAGATCGACTAGAACGAAGCGAGATTAGAGAACCCAAAATCCCTGAAGAAAAGCCTGCAGGCTCCAATATCCCGAGAAACTCAGCCACCACAACAAAACCTTCCGGTAAATTCCCCCAAAGGCCAAAACTACCCTATTATAAGTTAGACAAAGTAGCTCCACATCAAGCAAAAGCATAACCCCCAAAGAACAAGTCCCACCACAGGAAAGAGGGGAAAAAAAAAGACTGAGACAGACAGACAAAAACTGAATGAAACAAAAGTCAACACCCTCTCATCATAACTGAAGTATCAATAAAGATGTAGGAACAGTATCTAGATGAATAATATCGAGAAAATTGTCAAGAAGGAAGCCGAGAGGGACGAGCCGCCTGGCTCCTCTCCTGAGCAGAGCTAAACCAATGTCAACAAGACAATGACAGCAGGGAACTAGAGCATGAATAAAGTGAAAAACAGAAGATTGCAGAAATAGGTCCCAAGATGGAACCCCCAAAAAATCCCGCACAGCATGACTAAAATCACTCGAAACTTTAATAACCATATGCTAGATCCCCTCCCCCACAACAATATCAAACACCAATAAAATGTTTCAACGGGACTGATCACCTGAAACAGCGATCCCGAAGAGGCTTCAGGAAACTAAAAAGGGCCTCATACAGCCACAGAAAAATTCCCCAAAGGAAAAATAAAATCCTCACTCAACCAATCTCAGATACAAATTACCTCATACAGTTCAAGTATAATCCAACGCCTCAGGAACCCCACAACTTCCAACTATAGCATAACCAAAAAAGTGCCCCACTCTGCCCCCGATACAGTTAGAACCACCAAACCGGGTCTATCGGGGCCTATTGACAGAAGTAACCAAGACGCCAAACCAAGCAACAAGTCATAACTCCTGCGAGGTAAGAGGAGATATCACGCAACCAAACCTTCTAGAGTCTAAAATCAGGAGGAATAAGGAAGTGGGCCCACCAGACGTGACAAACACCTACCCCAAAACGCCAACCTGAAGTGGAAATATTCCGTCCAAACAAGAATCCAACCTACACCCCGGCCCCCTCGGGCCCCGCATCCTTTAACCCGGCTCCAACCCCAGAGGTCAAGTCTTTTGAACAAGATAGGGACAGACAAGTTCATAGACGCAGGGAAGGAATGAAGACGCACACAACAGAGGGAGGAATAATATAGAAGTGAACTAAGGACGGGCCTCGGAAACGTTAAGTAACATCCGGGTCCCCTCGACATGAATCTCAGTACTGATAAACAAAGCCGCCAGGCCCAGGATTAAGCGGCTCATCTACGAGCCAAATAAATACAAGGCTTCCGTACCCCGTCGAAAGGGAGAAACATCACCCGTTAAATCAATCCAACAAATCAACTCAAGCAGAAGAAAAGATTAATCGAAAAGCGTGTGTCAGAGAAGAAGTTAGAGCGTGATGTTATATTAGTCTGTATCCCCCCCAGAGGATCATAAGGAAGGGACAAGGAAACAGTTAGAGAGAAAATATGAGCCCAGATAAGAAACAAGCGACGCGAGCAAGATAATGGAGTAAGGCAGGTAAAACGGAAGAATAAATGTGACCGAGTCAAAGAACAAGACAGTACTGACCCGCCCGTAGGAGGAATAGTGGAGAAACCAAAGGCCAAGGTATCCATGGGCACTTAGGATGGAAGTAAAACAAAATCAGATTCGTTAAGAGTAGGCCCAGAGATTGACGCCAGAACACAACCCATGAAGCTTCAGTCGAAGATTCTCAACATCACAAGAAGGGACGTACGTCAAAGAGAGGCAGACCCCAGCACCCCCCCGTTGCACCCCCTCCACCCTCAGGCCAAGACACGATCAACGAAACAACACTGGACGAGTCAGCCCCTCAGGGAATCCCCAGGAAAGATTCAAGTCCATCAAAACCAACCAGAAGGAGGAACTAACAGGGGATAACGCAACACAAGATGAAAGGAGGATTTCAGCCCAGTAAGTAAGAATAAGTCCGGAAGGGAAAGGTCAAAAGATCTCCAGGATAGCAAGGGGGAGTAATATCCCAATTCTAAAGGAGCTCGAAGCAATAGAGTGTATATGAAATCCAACCACTGAGGCAAGTTAATCTCAAAAGTTAGCCGAACCCACCTGGCAACAGCCGGATAGATTCGAAGCTGTGCCAGGCAATAGAAGTGACACTCATGAACGGGACCCCACAGTAAGGAAATAAGGGATCTCTAGTCAAACCACAGCCATCGCCCTAAGAACAGCCTCCGCAACTCAAGCAGCACAAGTGCCAATTCTCCAAAAGAGAATCACCCCCCAGGACAGAATCCATGGACGTGGGGCATGAGTACGAAATAATAATTACGCATGAGCAATAAATTCCACCAGGAAATCTCTTCTCTGTCTCATAAAGGGGGCCCATTTCTCCCAAGGCAAAGAATGTTCGAGAGAGTGAGTCAATCACGAAGGGACCGACGCTTGAGACATGATCGCGACAAGATAAGAAGGGGGGTGAAATAAGTAGGATCCTTGAACGTCTAGCGACCCGGACAGTTAATTCAGCTCCAAGTGGAGAGTCTTGGACAAATGAAGACACGTAATCGTCGCAGCAGGAAAAAGAAGGATAAAGGATAGGGCATTAAGATGAATCAACCCTAACGAAAGCAGCCAGAGGAGCTGAGAACAATCTCAAGCCGAAAGGATGACTGAACTCCTTCAGGGAATGAGCTCCAAACATTAAAAGGCGGAAGGGGCGAACTGAAGGCACAATTCCCAGTCGGAAAGCCTTGGGACGTCACTATCCCAAAGGAGGCAGCACGTTCCAACGAAGAAGAAGCTGACTCAATCTCTAACGGAAGCATCAGGAAGCAAAGGGATGAGTTAAGGAGGCAATCCCCAAGCACCAATCCGAATCCGAACGTAAGCAGAAATATGAGGCCGCCCCCCCAACAAAAAGAAAGGATCAACAAGAATCCAAAAATCTCATTGCGGAACGGCTCATTGAACAAGAGGATCCCACCCAAGGAAAGAACAGTGTCAGGGGAAAGTCAGATCCCAAGAAGAAGGACCCACAACAGGTTCGGGAAACAAATAAACAGTGAAAGCCATGAAAAAGGCCCCAAGTAACAAGCGCCAGCCTTGATCGAATAAGATGCGAAAATCCAAAGGAGGAACAAGTCTAGACAAAGGCACAGGATCAGCGGCCTCCCGGAGTAGTAGGGCAACAACTAGGTAAAACTCACCAAATGGCCCGATCAAAAAGATAGGGAAAGAAGAGACCATAAATAGGAGGGTTAGGGCGGAGGATAAAAGAGTGGACTCTAACCCAAACTCAAGCGTCAAGAAGACAAGCATTGTGAAGGTCAGGAGAGGGGGAACCGAAGAAAAGAGGAGGGTGCAGGTCAGGAAGCGTCACAGACCAAGGACGGGAAAAGGGGGGTGTGTGAAGATTAGTTAACACAGGGGAAGAAATCGGCTGCCCACCGTCCGAACAGGAAACTGAATAACAGAGGTAGTAGGCTGTCCAAAGAGGCAGCCGAAGCGGACAAATCCGAGCTCCACCAAGCAGATTCGCACACCAACCCGACAAGCGCAGGGGTAGAAGGAAGGGAACCGTCGAAAAAGTCACTAGGGCTGGTCAAAGGGCCGTAAGTAAGGACCCCAGCCCGTGGGAGGTAGGAGTTGAGATCTCCACATGAGGCCTCCCGGGAGAGGACGACAGGTAAGGTCAAAAGAACGAACAACGTCACAAATGTCAGAAGGAAGGATCCAGGAGGGAGGACAGGTATTAAGGTCCAGTGAAAATCGGACTGAATGTATAACACATCGTCAAGAAATGGACCGCTGCACAAACGCCAAAGAGGAGAACGAGGATGACAAAGCCCAGGAGGGCAGGTGAGAAAGTAGAAAAATACCTGAGCCCAAGTGGAGAGGATGGGAAACAAGGAGAGAGAAGCGGGAGAGATAAGAGTAGTCATTACAAAAGGACTGCTTTAAGGACGAGTAGGTGTTACTGGTTAGAGTGGAATCAAGACCCCCAGGAGGGAAGAGGAAGTACTTCAAGGCAAGGCCAAGTGATTACAATCGAAAGCTTTCCTCCCAGGACGAGGACTTAAAGAGTAGAAGTAACAGAGCCAGAAATACTCCAGAAATAAGGGAGGTAGAAGAACCCCCGGGTCAAAGAACCCCAATGAAGCAGGCGGAAAAGACAGAGGCTGAGGAGGTGAAGAAACCTGCCTTACAATCCAACCCAAGAATTAAGGAGGTTATTGAGAGTCCCAACAGAAACACAGCAGGAAAGAGAAAATTAGGGAGGCTCGGAAGAAGTTCAAGAGCTTTAGCCAAGGAGCTCCCAGGAAGGAAAAAGGACGTGGCCCACCAGATTGGCTGAACAAGCGAAAGAAAATCGAGGCCTTAGTTTGGCCCTTCAGCCCAGGTAGGGAAATCAAAAGGTAAGGCAAGCGTACGCCGAACAGACGGTAGTGACCTCATCTGGTATACGCTGGTTCCCAGCACCCTGAGAATTATTGTTCCGGCTGGGTAAGTATGATCGAGCCACAAGGAACCTTGAGTCTTAGGATAGAAGCCAAGAACGAAGGCTGGGAGAGTGTTCCAGTGGCTAATTCAAGGAGGGACTGTGACCAACGACCTCGTGCCTATTGTTTAGGAGCTATCACCAGTGGGTCAGGTGCCCAGGGGGGCTTCCTGGGAAGGTGGGCTAATTTGGTAGGACCAATGAACCGGGGGGGAAATTGGCAGTCAGTAACAGATGTCACTACTCCTCTCATAAAACGAATAGTAGAACCAAGTCTCGACGCAATTCAATGGAGGGGACTTCTAATGTGTATAATGTCAAGGGCCTTGAGTCTTTCTCAGCTGAAAGCCATCAAGGACGGAAAGCCTCTCCTACTCTGGGAAAAGGAGGCATGGAAAAAAGCTCTTAATAAAGGTGTCACGAATCCTTGGAATTCGGACGCTAAAGGACAGGGAATGTTAATAGCAGTGGTTTGTTTGATACATGCAATGATAGGGTATGACAAGGGACCAGAAGGACCCAACCCTACAGTCAGGAATATATGCACCAATGTATGGGACCAAGTCAAGTTGGAATTACAGGAGGTGCCTCAAGGCTCATCCAATAGACATATCAAGACACTGGATGAATTCCTGGACAAGTTGAAGAAGGATGAGGCTGGATCCAGCTTATCTTACCCTAACCTGGGCCTCTTGTTGAGTCTATATTATGGATTGAATCAATGCGGGGAGTATCGAGGAAACTATGACTTAACGGCACTAGTGAGAACCAGTGGGTGGGAACTGGGGGAGATGGGGAGTTGTTCAATAGACCAAAATACTTTCATGTGTGGAGGAGGTACAGGCCAACCCGTGGGCTCTACACTGAATATGTGGACAAATAGGAAAAGTTCGTTAATATCTGGGCAGTTAAAGGAAGCGCCAACAACTACACAAACTAAATTGGTTACCCAGGATAGTGAGGAGGACGTAACGAAACTTAAGCAGCAACAACGACAGAGGAATCAGGACTTCATCAGACAAAGCACCAACCAAATGGAAGCCAGTCACAGGCACTACTCAGAGTCAAGCGTAGTTTATGGGAACACCCCGGCCAACATGCAACTTCACCGAAAACCAGGTTCCGACGGAGGATCGAAGCCCCCTGCCGGCGTATCCGAAGCCGAAATTAATGTGAGGGATGCTGGTGATGAGACAAAATCCATTAAGAGCCCCAGAAAATATGAGGTCCAAAAGGAAGATAACACAACTCGGGACATTATTAACGAACAGGGAGCCCCTGAAAAAACAGCGGCTCAAAAAGAGCAAAAGAAGCAACAAGTCCCGGTAAAAGATCCCAGCTCCCCCCCTCCAGATCTCAGAAGTCACCTCCCACAACAAACTCCAGATGGGGAAGGATTGGCAGATAAGTCCATGACGCAGCAACCCTCCTCCCCACCAACACAATCGAGCGTGGGTCCGATTGTAGGGGGCATTGTCGCGCTTTTTCTAGCCATAGGGGGGGTCTATGGTATTTATCGGGTGTATCTGAGGCCTGTAAGTAGACTCAAGCCAGATTCCGCCGGGACGGAGAATAGTAAAGGGCGTGTGAGTTATGGGCCCTATATTCCCACGTGAACGAAAACCTGAGTTTGAGAGGAGGTCCAACATATACCGCCGCTGATCCGAGCGAACAGCTGGATCTGGGAATGGACGTACAGGCCCAAACCAACGAAGTCTACAACACGGCAGCCCATGTGTCGCAGAACGAGGCCCTGGATCTCTCGAGCCCTGATGAAGGAGACAAGAACGAATCAGGGCCAGGGCCGCGCACTTTTTCGTTCTGTGTCTTGACGTATAGGTTAGGAGTTTGGACCTTAGGGGGCAGGCCAGGTCGAGTTTGGGGTTGAAGGTTCTAGATTTAGGGGTAGGGATTTAGTCTTTCGGAGTTAGGTTTGAGAGTTTAGGGTTTACGTTTAGGTTTCAGGTTTAGGGTTCAGGGTTTAGGGTTTGAGTTTACGTTTGGGTCTATGGTTTAGGGTTCAGGCCTTATGGGCTTAGGGGTCAGGTTTCAGGTTTATGGGTCACGGTTCATGGCTTAGGGATTAGCTTTCAGGGTCAGGCTTTAGGGTTCAGGGTTCAGCGTTTAGCTTTAGTGTTCAGGGCCTAGGCTAAGGTTCTGGGTTACATTTAGGGTTCAGGGTCTAGGTTTACTGTTCAGGGTTTAGGTCTAGGTTTTAGGTTTGAGAGCTCATTATCTAAGTTTAAGTCTTGTAGTTTAGGCTTAATTTCTAGCGCTCATCTTCTTAGTCTTTAGGTTATTCAGTTCTGGGTCTAGGTTTTAGTGTTATCTCTAGGTTGTACGGGTCAGGGATCTAGTCCTAGTGCTGAGTTTTAGGCGTGAGGCGTGACGCCGTCGGGGTTTGTGTTTAGGGATTATTGCTTAGGGTTATTGTTTAGGATTGAGTCTTACTGGTTATGTTTAGTTTTACTGCTTATGTTTAGTTTTACTGCTCATGAGTTACGGTCTTGGGGTTACGTTTGACAACTCAGTCTATAGGGTTAGGTTTACATTCTATGGTTCAGGCTTCAGGGTCTAGGGGGGTTTTTCCACTTTTTAGTGGTCAGGCGATCTCTTGTTAGATTTATTGCTGAGAGGCTAGGTTTGAAGGCTCCAGTCGGGCGGACTAGGAATCAAGGGGTTGGGTTTATATTTTATGATTCAGGTGGCATGGAGCAGTGTCTAGGGTCCAGGCGTCAACACTGGGGGATTTGGGATGAGAGATTAGGGTGCAGGAACTTGCGATTATGGTCCTAGGAGGCACGTTTCAGTGTCCTGGGTCTAAGGATGAGGATTCCGGTTTTGGATACACCGTCGATTCGGTAGGGGTTATTTCTTAGCTCCCTGGTCCTATCCACTTGTGGTTTGGTGGGTATGTGTTAGGGGGTAGGCCTGTTCCTAAGGTTTTAGGGGCCCGTGATTACGTCTTAGTTTTTATGACTCTGGGTTTAGGGTTTAGGATTGATATTTTAGGGAGGACAAGGCAGGGCTTAATGGTGAGGGTTTAGGGTCTCTGTCCTAGGAGTCAGGTATTAGATTCCTGAACTGATATCCATTTTTTGAGCTGCCCTGAAGTTGGAGTTGTCTTCCGAATCTTTCTTCTAAGGGACTTGTGTTGTGGTGGAAACTTTCATTGCGGTTGTTCAGAGATTTTACTTCCTCGGCTGTTTCTCCTATTTCTACGTTTCATTGGCCTCATTTTGTACGGGGGTTGCCTGGATTTTTTACGCTGATATCTTATCATTTCTGTATTGGACTTTGATGGCTTACTTTGTATGTTCTGGTGAGGTAGCGGTATGTCTTGTTACTTACATCTTATTCTTTAATGCCCTGGGTTTTCTCAGCTACGCTCAGGATTTAGGTTTCTATGGGTCAGGATATTCTTTTTATTGATTACTCTTCTTGTACATGGGAAGCCCCCTATCACCCCTACTCCTGACTCTGGTACATAAGATTCTGATGCAAGGACAAACTAAAAACTAACCAGCCTTATGGTAGATCTAAGAGGGGCGGAAGGGACATACTTAGTTTTCTTTCGATGAACGATAAATAATTTAGAGATTTGTTATGGAAATCATATCTAGAGATGTTCACTAGCTCAGATAACATCTTTAATATCCTAAAAAAATATGAGACAATAAAAGGATAAAACAGCGCTTTGAGCATGTCTCCACAACAAGTCTAGATAAGATGCTGGAAGAGTTCTGGCGTCAAGGGTTTACAAATATATATACCTTCTCCTCTAGAAGGGTTTCCTATTATGTACAGGATTTTATTATACTCCGGCTTCCTCATTGCTCGGAGGTGCCTCTGAACGCGACTGTTTGTTTTATTCAATATGAGGATCCTTTGAACCAGGTTCATCTAGTAAAACACTTTTAGGTTCAATGATTTATTATGTACAAATATAATAATATGTCGGCACCATGTTATGGCTTAACTTGTTCTTTGGTCCACTTTTTGTTAGGTCTCACTTTTTAGAAAATGAAATTCCTGCTTTATTATTAATTTGGCGCACCTGATAAACCATACATAATGGGAAAAAGAATATGCATCAAGATTCTCCTATAAAGACAAGAATGTTAGATGTTGTTCTCTCTAAATATCGGAAAGGCATATCTCGGGCTTAGATAGAGGGATAGGGGTGTGTCCTTGTTATCTTTGTCCCCGCCTATAGGGTTCTATAAATATTATATATATGTATATATATATGGAATCCCCCCCCCCGGGTATCCTCCTCTTTTGAGAGCAATTGACATGCGACAGGGGGGGGTTTTCAGAAGCCCTTCCCCGCTTCCTTTCCTGGGCAATCCGTTTGCATTAACGGTGGGGATAGCTACGCTTCCTTTTCCTGCTGTTATTGGCCACTCATTGAATTAACCGGTTAAAGTCCCCACCTAACATAAAGACAAGACACGTCACCTCATAAAGCTCCTATGCACATCATAATATTAACTGCTTCCTACCAACAAAATGCAGGTGCACAGGAGAAATGGACGGTCGAAATAGAAATACACGATGATCCTATATGTTTGATCTTCGCCGTTTTCCAGAGCAAAGGAAAAACAGATATACGGCCTACATAGGCGCCAATAATAGATAAAGATGGATTCACTGTAGTACGTAATGTATTATTTAGGAAGAAACAAAAGAACCAAGTGTTCAGTCATCAACTTCTTCTGATACAACGAAGTGTTAGGGGAGGACAAGGTTCAGGGGAATATCGGGTGAGGAGTACAGTTGAATACACGATGTGCATATTGCAACATTGGCAGTGAAGTATCGGACGCTTCTCAGCTAGTGGGTAGGCGACATATATCCACCAAAGGTTTGCCTCTTGTTGTTTTATATGATGTCGCGGGCCCTAGTCAGAAACGGGATGTCCACCTTATCTCAGAGACCTCCTCTGTTTCTTTGTTTCAACTTAAGTTATGCCCTCGGTTTATAAAGTAGTCACCTTTGGATTGGTGCATCCGTATCTCGTAATACTCCTTTCCTAATTGATCACAGAATCGTTGCGCTCCAACCATTTCCTGCTCTATACACACTTTGGAGTCTCCCAATTCTGCCTGAAATCAATTAATAGGACATGTGACGGCGACATGTTCTTTATCGTATATGAAATCATTTTTGTGTATATAGGCCAGCTCCTTCCCTAAGGAAGAGACAGAGGCCAAATAACAAAAAAAACGAAGGATAAGACGGGGGCATTTCAGGTGTGTTTCACAGGATTGTGTGTTGTTTCCTGTAATGCCCTTGACAATGACTGGACAGAGACACAGACGAATGAAATTAGAAAGATCCGGAAGAAATTATAATGATGTAACAGATATTTATGGAGCCATATGAGAAACATTCCCTATTACATATGGTTCTATTAATGCATCAAATGAGAGAATGATTATAATATGTGTCTACCCTGTCTTCATTCTCCTTCTTTCCTTTAACAAAGAGTACAAGAAATAAAAAACAGCAAAAAGGGAAGGTAACAGTGCTGAGTGGCGAAAAATGAATTAAAAAATTGTTCTTGATGTCAGTAAAACAGAGATTAAAAAGGAAGTCACATCTCCCTCCTAATATCAACCTCGAGAGAAAAGATAAAATATGTGGAGATTGAACAGCACGGAGCCAGAACACGGGTGAAAACAGAAACAGCGCGTTTGACACACATGAGAGAGGGCATATAATAATTCCACTGATAACCCCTCATGGGAATCCTTCCTGAATTATCCTGATCCGTACCTTAGAGAACAACAAGACTCTCCTTTTTTTAAACTAATAAGATTCGACCAGTACGTTTCCTTTTCGTAGACACGAAACATACTCCTGATCAGCTTGAGGAAAGTACACCACAGAAGAAAGAATGAGTCACCTGTCGTCATGACAAGAATAAATGGTATATCCATTTTAGATTGGTATACCAGACTCTGATTCGAGCAGATGTATTGGGGTTAAATGATAAAGCATCGATATAGCTATATAGGTTTGCAACATTCCGAAGATATCCATGATCCCCACAAGATCGGGGCTGTTTACTTATAATTCTACATACCACGGGACCAGCTCTATAACCACCATATTAATGTAAAGCTAAAAGAAGGGACTTCCTCAAGACAAGATACCATGTTACAATACGAGACACAGTGGAAATGTGATGGAGATAGCACGATAAAAAAAAAGAGGGGACTAATTGTTCAGTTCAAGAAGGAGTTTTGGGAGTTACCATCCCACTTCAACAATGGAGGCGCCCCGCTATCATTACAACATAGCATCCAATAATAATCAGTCACTGTGTTGGAAATAGTTACTGAGATTTTGTCTCACATGTATTTTTCCACGCCTCATATACAATCATTAAAACGAGGCTTACTGATACGGTCGAATGTTTGCCAATATTCGGATACTTTCAGAAGCAAATAAAGACATCATATGACGCCTAAAACAAGGAGTCCATAAGATACAGGAAGGACAGCTGTCAATGGGATGCCTACTAATAACGGTAATACTTCCAGTGTAAATGTAACCAGCATCGTTAAAAGGAACATCAGATGATATAATTCAGTCCCCAGTGGCCAGT